CCCCCTCCCCCCTCGCCCCCCTCCGACGGCTCCCGCCACATCGGGGTCCCCCGTCCCCGGTGCCTTCGGATTCTTCCGCGACCGGCCGCAGGCGCCTCGTCTCAGAGGAAGTGGACCCAGCCCTGGGGCTCCGGAGCTCCGCCACTGCCCGGGTGTTCCGGCCCACGGAGCGCATAGTCCCGGCCGCCGTTGTTGTCCCAGAACTCGTGACCCGTCACACGGTAGCGCAAGGCGAACAGCAGGGCGCCCCCGACCGGCGGCGCCGGCAGGCGGAAGGCGAAGCGGTCGGCGCGCGGCGGGGGCGGGGCCGGGCCGGCGTAGGCGGCGGGGGCCTCGCGTTGGATCCACCAGCCGTCGGCGCTCCAGCGCACGCTCACGCGCTTCTCGTAGGCCAGGTCCAGCACGCGCGCGCTCCCGGCCACGCCCAGCGGGCCCGCCTCTGCGCGCTCCAGGCAGATGCGCTGCGCTTGCAAGCGAGCGGCGAAACCGGGCTCGCGGGCCGGTTCCAGAGCAGCGCGCGCCTCCTGGGGAAAGAGCGGGGGGGAGGGGAAGGAGGAGGAGGCGGAGAAGCGGGAGAGAACCCGCGGGGAGGAGGACGGAGAGACGGGAGGCGGGGTCAGAGCCAGGCACCGGGCCAATCAGACGCCGACCTCGGCCTGCGGGCCGGCAGGGTGGGGCCCAGCCGCTAGCGTGGCCTAGAGCCGCTCGCGAATGGGGACTTTGGAAGGGAAGAGCCGGCGCGAGCCCGGAAATGGGGGTGGAGATGGGTGTTCCTCGACAAATCCACTCCCACTCGCCCGCCGCAGCAGGCTGGGAAAAGTCCCGGGGAGGGGGCGTGTCCCCGCCGCCTACCTGGAGGCCGCGGGCGCGGGGCTGGCACGGCGCGAAGTGGCGGAGCGCGTCCCTCTGCAGTTGCACCTGCACGTGGCGGGGCACCCGGGGCAGCTCTCCCGGACGGAAGCGGCGCACGGCGGCCAGCTCCAACCCCAGTGCGTCGGCGAAACGCACTCTCTTGCGGGTGTCTGGGCTGCGGCTGCG